ATTTCATTGCACGCTCTTGGGTGAGAGAGTACAAATGTATTAAAATTAAATTAATAAATTTAAACAAGACGGACAGAAAAAATTTGTTTTAGATTTTTAATTACATTTTAATATCGTGTATTTCTTCCTCTTACCTTAATTACATCTTGAACACTCATCGACATACTTTCTACCAGTCTGGAAATGTCTCTTTGCTGGAGGTTAGCCCATTATTCACGAAAAGTCCTTTCAAGATCGTGGATTTTATCAGGAAATGATGAACGTGTTCTTATTCGTCTTTCGAGGTTATCCCATAAATGTTCGGTTGGGTTCAAGTCTGGCCAGGCTAAGTCCCTGATGTTAAGCTGTTGAAGGTACGTTTGTACTATGCAAGTGGCGTGAGGGACGGGCATTATCATGCATTAGAATAGGATCGCTGATTTCATCAAGGATAGGCAACTCCTGATGTTCCAAAATTTCATCCACGCAGCGAGTGGCCGTCAAAGACCCTTCACGAACAACTACTTCATTCAAATTCCCGCCCACACCATCACTGAGCCACGTTGAAAAGGTCTGGGAAAATTACAAGCTTCGTACCTTTCATTTCGCCTTCTCCACACTCTTTCAATCCCATCTGGAGATCATAGAGCAAATCTACCCTCATCTGTAAAAAGGACAGCAGACCAATCGGCTGTGTTCGAGCCGTGCACTCTGTGTGTTCTGGTCAATTCTGGTCCTCTCATGGGGCGAAATGCCATCAGTCCATACTGATTTAATCTTCTTCGACCAGTGCGTTCAGAAATTTGGACACCTTGAAATTCCTGGAGCTGATGACTCGATTGAACAGTAAGGTGCCGGTTTCGCATACTTCGCAAAGTCAAAGAAAGGTCATCCTATGTTCCTAATACCCTAGGGCTTTCTGTGGTAAGACCCAGTTTCTCAAAAACGTCTAACGACGTCTCGCAGAGATTCGTAGGGAAATCCGACGGCAATAGCCGCATACCTGCTGGAACGTCAGTCATCAATAAGTGCCACACTACGCCCATCATCCTCAGCACTAAGTGGCATTTTTAAGTTTAAAAATTGAAATTAAAAAGACAAAGATGAAAATTAAAGTTTATTGCTTCAGAATTCAAATGAAACTGAATAAACATTTTAAATTCCGTAAAAATTAAACAATGAGACAAATTAAGGGCAGAATTTTCTTTCATCGAGAAAATGAAAAAAAAAATCGGGTGGAATATTTTGCCTGTCAGTGTAGTATCGGTTAGTTGATTTATCACTGATATCAAAGGTCAATTATATTTTTTTTTAAATACCCTCTTTTCCTACACTTTTTTTATTGTATCATAATAAAACAAATTCTTTCAAAATTGTTTTTAAAAAAGTCACTCCTCGTTAGATTTTTAATTCTTTTGGTCCTAGTACTTTCTCCTCCCTCTAAACCCAAACCCTTCACTCCATCAGAGGTCAAATTTATCATCAATCACCTCCCAGTAAAAAAAAATCCTATAATTTTTCTTCCTACCATTTACAACTCAGTCCTTAGAACTACCTATTTCACATAAAACGCAATCAAAAACTTCAAAAAACCCTATTATTTCTTTATCGCCCACCTCCTCCTCGGTTTGCTGCCATTAATTGGCTAAGTCGTATAAAACCCCCTCTTGGAACGCTTACTTACCATCCCTGAAAGCTCTATTGTCATTTAATCCTATCAATTCGGGTTCAAGTGTCATCATTCAACCACAGTGCCACAGGGTGGTAGATCCATCCATGACCTCATCTTAAAATCCTACTTGTCCCGTAATTACTTACAAGTACTTGCATCCACTGTACAAAAGCGGGCGTTCCGCAAAGCAGCATCCATAGTCCCATTCTCAATTTATTACACACTGCAGACATTCCTAACCATCCGATACTATGCTTCTAACAAAATCAGGAGATAACGCCTTTCAACAAAACCGGACATGGTCGCCTTCAGAAACATCCAGGAAATTCACGCAATAGAACTCGGTACTTAAAGGTGGTACACTCCTCCACCTTTAAGGAAACATGGTCTGGGAATGCCAAGCATATCATGAATGAGCAGATCCGAACATATCTTATGTGTCACGGAACTAGAACAGCCTCTTCGGAAAAGAAGAAGAAGAAAAATAACTTTATTCTGGGACTGGTGTCCCCTAAGAATAATTTACATGAAATAAATAAAGGAAGTTCCTTCTATGAAGTTAAAAGTAAAAAAAAAAGATAGAAATCTTGACACAATGTATACCAGTAAGGCAGGACAGAAGAAAAAAATTACAAGAATATTAAACAAAAATAACAAATGTTAACCTGAGGTCTCTGCTTGGAGGGAGAGGAGGAGATTATACAGGTGGGATTTAAAGGAGGAAAAGGATGCAGCGTGCCGAATAGAAAGGGGAAGGGAGTTCCAGAGTTTAGGGACTCGGATCAGAAAGGATCTTTCGAAGGTATGGGTTATATGTTGCGGAAGGATAAGGTCGATTGGGGATGAACGTGTCTTACGAGTGAGATGTGAGGAATTGAATTGGAGGGATTGGATGATGTAAGGAGGACGACGAGTGTGGATGGACTGGAAAAGAAAGCAACCTAGGAAAGGAGGGGAATAGCCAGGAAAGCTGGGAATACAACCCCGACACCCGGGATCCCCGTGGGGTGTCGTACACAAATCTTACGCAACAATTCATAATACGCTTCAATCGCGCGTTCTCCCCCTCCGAGAGATCACCGTATGCCAAACAGCTATAATCGAAGAAGGGAAGTATAAGGGAAGATACAAGGAGTTTGAGGGTGGAGAAAGGTAAGAGGACCCAGGACCGACGAAACAGGCTGAGGGAGGCAATGGAATGGCGGGAAATTTGGGAAATGTGAGAATGCCAGGAAAGGTTTTGGTCAAAGACTACTCCTAGGTTTTTAACCGAAGAGCAGAAGGGGATGTGATGGTTATTTAGCATGAGAGGTGGGATGCTGGGGAGGGAATTGAGGAGTTGCCCAGACCCGATAATTATGGCGGTGGATTTGGACGGATTGAGGACTAGGGAATTTTTATGGGCCCATTCGTTGATGGAGTTTAGGTCTTTTTGGATCTTGAGAGTGGCCGAGTGAAAATCGGAAGAGTGGAAGGATATGTATATTTGGGAGTCATCGGCATATAGGTGATAGTTACAGGACTGGATGGAGTCGGGCAGATCATTGATATAAATGGAAAAAAGGATAGGAGAGATGCTAGAGCCTTGGGGCACCCCAGATTTTAGAGGGAGGAAGGAGGAGGTAAGGCCATTGGGAAGGGAGACAGCTTGGTGGCGATTGGTAAGGAGTGGAACCAACGGATGGTGCTGGCGGAGAAGGAAAAAGATTCGAGTTTAGAGAGGAGAGAAGAGTGAGGGACAGAATCGAAGGCTTTAGAAAAATCAAGAAGGACAAGTATAGTAACTTTCCGTTGGTCCATTGCAAAGTGGAGGTCACTGGTAATTTTTATTAGTGCTGATTGGGTGGAATAACCTTGGCGGAAGCCAGATTGGAGGGGGTTGAGAAGATGGGACTGTTCAAGGTGCCTGGAGACTTGTGCTTGGACTAATCTTTCTAGGGGCTTGGACAGGTTTGAGAGGATGGAAATCGTACGATAATCTGTAGGGGAGGATGGGTTGGGGGTTTTATTGACAGGGTGGACAAGAGCTTTTTGCCAGGCTGTCGGAAAAACAGTTTTGGAGTGAGTAGTTATAGATGTGAAGTAGAACAGGTAGTAATATTGGGAGGCAGAGTTTAAGAAAATGGATAATGGATGGAAGAAAAGCGTTATTAAATAAAGAAGAACACCCATAAAAGTTTTAAACCTGAAATTTGGTCGTTACAGATCATTTTGGACTTTCTCCTCGCTAGGTTTTTCTATCAGACGAGTCGCTATTTTCAGTATTAGTTCTGACTGAAGGTGACACAATGAGGCTAGGCAGGTCAGGATGATCAGTCCATGCAGTAAAACTCTGTCCCTGTATACTTTCAGACATGTAAGCAAAACTAAAGGTCTTAGACTACTTCATCTTCAACTAAAAGCTTTCTCCATGTTGACTATTAGGTACCAGGAACCTACAATTTGGTAGCTTCCTATCATTTCGGTCTGCCGATCCTCACTGTATTGATCAGTATGACATGTTTCGGCAATTCGCCATCTTCGGTGTTGGATCTGTGGCTGGACTGAAGGCGAAACAGTGAGGATAGGCCGACCTAGATGCATATAAATATTCTCAGCCAAGAAGCACTAATGGCCTTTTTTACGACCTTCCTTACCTACTTACCAATCCGAAGGAAGCCAACAAAGCCATATTGTCCCATCGATTTGCTGCCATTATTTGGCAAAATCATTTAAAAATACCTCCTTAAACACCTATATCCTCTGAAGTCCTCCATTAACTGGAGTTCAAGCGACATCACTCTACCACTCAACAGTGCCACAGGGCATATCATCGTAAACTGCTCAGATACTTTCCTAGACGTGAGACTAACCTTCGGTTGAGTGCAGCACCCCGGCTCAAGGGAATCTTTCTATTAATTTATTACCAGGCCGATAGGTATTTTCAAATACAAATCCAAACCTTCTGCACTCCACTACGATAAAGCAGGTGTTCCGCAAGGTAGCATCCTTGGTGTGGGATTCAACAAAACGTTCCAACCTCCAAAGAACCCAGCCTCTCTGGCCCAAAATCCTTCGAAACATTGCCCAAGCACTCTACGTCGTATCCAGAATTACTCTTCATACTTCAAATTCCATTGTCATCGAAACCGCAAAAGTAAAATCAGACTTCTCATTAAAACCCTGGACCCTCATTCCGCCTCATTCATTCCGAACCCTCCCAACCGTCCTCCCTAGTGAGATAGTGAATCGTGTATAATCATTTCTCCGCTCTTAAAACTTTATAGTATAAAATTCATTCTTTCTTTTAGAGTTGTTGTGACGTAATAATAAAAAAATGTTTATAGTTACACACCACAATTTGTTTCAGGGTTGCAGCCAGTCTGGAGGCGAGGATTAGGAAATGATAGATAGGATTGCCAAAAATCCTTTATATGGATTTTCTTCTTCTTGGACAGTGAAGTTCCGCACATAAATGATCTGATGAATAGAAAATCCGAGAGAGGATGAAATAAGGAAGATGGGAAGAGGGATCCTCTTCCGAAGACCTAATAAATGTAAGTATCTTTATTAAATATTACATTAAATTTTAAATATTACATTAAATTTTAAAATATTAAATTAAATTCTTTATTAAATTTTAAACAACTAAGTTACACTTCGCTAAAACCAGCAGAATCGAAATGGCTATTCTCTATCTCAAGGAAGGGAATTAGGAGGCTGGTAGGTATTCTGACGGGCCACTGCCCACTGAGAAGACACCTCTTCGTAATGGGTATCCTACCAGATCCCTTTTGCCGTTTTTGCGAAATAAAAGAAGAAACGGCAAGGCACTCGCAGAGTGTGATAGGTATGCTAGGTCTAGATTTGAAATCTTTGAAGGAGAGGACATCACGAAATCACTCCCCGAGATTAAATGGTCCAAAATTTTGGGGTTTGTGAACATGTCCAAGAGGTTTATGCAGAATACGTGACCCGACCAAGTCCCGGACCTTTTAGGGATGGGGTACGGGTCTACCCAAGCATTTAAACCCTCGGGTCTTGGTCGCCCACCCTGCATAATATATATATATATACATTTCGCTTTCCTAACTAAAAGGAAATAAATTTGAAAGCAACCCAAACAAAATCATATTAGAACCACATAACAAAGATAAATGAAAATATAGTTTCCTCAAGGAAACGAAATACATGTAACTTGCCATAACACTAGATCAAAAGCTCACCAGGAAGAAACAAAGCAAAATAATACAAAAAGCAAAGGCCATAACAAGTTTTGTAATAAAACATCTAAACTTGATAAAGTAATCAAAATTTCCAAATAAACTTAGGTACTAAGATAAAGAATGGGTACGAGAGAAAACACCTCCTTTAAGTCCTTATCTATTGGTACACTGATGGATCTAGAACAAAAGAAGATACAGGGGTAGGAGTATTCGGTCCGGGAACCAAATACTCAGAACCATGGGATAATACACCAGTATCTTCCAAGCTGAGGTCTACGCAATCGAGAAATGTAGTCAATTCAATTTGAATAAAGGATACAAAAACAAGAACATAGCTATCATGTCAGATAGCCAAGCAGTCATCAAAGCACTAAGCTCAAACATTATTAGGTTAAAGATGGTGTTGAACTGCAAAGCCAAATTTAGCATGTTAGGTGTGAGCCTCTGCTGGGTCCCAGGACATGTGGGAGTTCAAGGCAACGAGAAAGCGGACATCCTTGCAACAAAAGTGGGATTGCTCTCCGTGGCCATTTCATTTGTCGCCGGGAATCAAATAGATTACACCATATTTGAAAAATGGCAAAAAGGAGGGAAAATTCAAAAGGTGGGATTGAGATGGGAAGTTGGTGTCCGAGTGGATCGAGGTCACGATAGCTCAAGTGGTAGAGCAGCGGCTATCTAGCCGAAGATCGTGAGTTCGAATCCCGCTCGTGGCACTGTCTTTTTAATCTCAACTAAAACCTTAATTAATTGAAAGATATTAATTGGTCAAGCGGATCACGAATATTGAATTATGAAAAAGCGAGACTTCGCAAAGATTCTAACCAACACTAACTTAAATTACTGCAGTAATGACGAAAAGCCGTACTTGAAACTCCGTGAAAATAAGTTACTGGCAGTAATTATTACGAAATATTGAAAAATAGCGCGAAATGCTTGAGGAACTGAATAATCCGAGGTCCGACAAATAAATTCATTTATTTCATGGCGAATCGAAGCAACTACATTCGATGATTTTTCAACTAAACGACGAATGAGAATCGGAAGTTGACTAAAAACCTAAAGGAGTTATTTTCAAAATTGCCCACCTTAAAGCTCAACTTGCTCCCCTGTGGTACGTAAGCCACACACTGGGAAAACTCGCTTGTTTGGTTAAAAAACACGCGACAGCTAATCGAAGAAGAACCCCAGAAAGTGCTTAACTACGTTAAGCATATGAATAAAGACTAGACTCAATTCGTAATAGATCTAGTAGGTCAATGTGGAAAAAGGGAAACCACAGAAATTATTAACCTATGAAAGGAAAAAATAAGCAAAGAACCGGGGGAAAGTTCTTAACAATGCATATATCTCAAAGAGTGCATATTCTGAATTATGAGATGGAGTAGGGTCAATTTCACAATAGATCTATTAAGTCGCAGTATAAAAAGGGAGACCGTAGACACCAGTGAAGCCGGAAAAAACAAAAACTCTACACTGTTTTCAACAAATGGAGTCTGAAAGTCGATTTTTTAGGCTGCAGGAACAAGCTTTTTAACCGCCTCGCTTTCCCTTTGAAAAGTTCTATTAGCCAAAAGGGGAAAAAACGCTGATGGTGAAGAGAAATTGAGTCATCGCTTGAATGTTAATGGGGCTGTTCTCGTCCAACCTTTAGGGGCCGACTTAATTCTTTTACAATTTAAAATAATTACCATTTCCCTCTTGATAAATTGGCTTTTATTTCTACATCCAAGTTTTATATGGAAAAAAAACTGTAAGAAAATGTTCAAACATTAACACAGCATCAATCGATTGTTGGGTTGATCATTTTTCTCCTCTATTTTTCTTTGGTTTTCCTTGACCTGTCTCAGTTACTGTTTTTATTTTGAACTAATTTTTTATAATAGGTTTCACTGTGAACACTGAATATCTTGGTCTGGATTTGCATTTATGTAGACTCAAATCCGCACATGTACATAAATAAATGTTCAGAGTTGAGCCTAACACTTCTCACATTTCACAGGCAATTCCAGCTTTTGTAATTTACAATAAATTGCTTCGAGAATCACCCACCCCGGGTATTGTCGGTCTGGGGGCAGACCTTGGTCTTACCCTTGGCTCCGGGCGGTGTTAATAGCTAGGTCAATTCATCACCCAACGCATGCAGTTCCAAGATCCAAACCCATTCACATTACCACTCATTCTTAAATCATTACTATTTACCGTTCGTTATGGTGGCGGGGTACTTCAAACTGAATGTCTCCAACACCCCTACACATATATAACCAACCTTACGAGGGTCAGTATTCCGCCATCGGCCTTCTCACACATTCACGCTAATAAATACATTGAATCACAATTCAAGCTAGGGCCACAAAACTATCATTACTACATGCAACAAAACAACCACCTATTATATAACTAACCTAATTGAGGGTCGATGGGTTACTCACTATTCCGCTATAGGCCTTCTCACACATTCACGCTAATAAATACATTGAATCACAATACAAGTTGGGCCACAAAACTATCATTACTATTTGAAATAAAACAATCACCTAATACATAACTAACCTAATTGAGGGTGGATGGGCTGCCAGTATTCCGCCATCGGCCTTCTCACCCATTCACGCTAATAAATACATTGAATCACAATACAAGTTGGGCCACAAAACTATCATTACTATTTGAAATAAAACAATCACCTAATACATAACTAACCTAATTGAGGGTGGATGGGCTGCCAGTATTCCGCCATNACAAATGAGTAATCCTGTAAACGTAAACAGAATATTTTATATAGATTTTTTTTAATGAAAACTTAAAATCCTGCATTATTTTCCGGACAACCCGATATATACAACATAACCATCACCTATTACATAACTAGCCTAATTGAGGGTCGTTGGGTTACGCAGTATTCCGCTATAGGCCTTCTCACACATTCACGCTAATAAATACATTGAATCACAATACAAGCTAGGGCAACAAAACTATCATTACTATATGCAACAAAACCATCACCTATTATACAACTAACCTAATTGAGGGTCGATGTGGTACTCAGTATTCCGCCATAGGCCTTCTCACACTACTTTCACGCTAATATATTCTCTCTCAACACATGCAACGGACACAAAACTATATACAATGCACTCGCTGCCGTGCTCAAGCACAGTTCTCATGCTGAGCGGCATTCCTTTACGCTCTCTATATGGAGCCAACTAAATGTTTGGTTTAGTCACATCTTTGAATTATTTGCTGTGTTCTACTCGTACTAATTCTAACATGGTCGATGATCGAGGGGAACCTTTTAATAATTTCGTTACTTTAAGGGTTGTCAACAGAGATTTGCAAGTCAATGGTTTGTAACCAATTCGTTTCTTATTTGTAAGCACTTATTTTAGTGTTTGTTCCCAAAAACTTGCGAGTAAAGACGGACCCTATAAGTGACCCAAAGGCGGTTCAGCATGAGTTCACCGATTCTCAGACCAACACTCAGCATCATTTCTAATTATGTAAAAGTCTAATAGTTTGAAAATAGGTGTAATATCATAAAGTTCAGTACCATAATCTGTAATCAATCGAATCCAATTTGAAACGAAAGTTTAATAAAAACAAGAAATCTATACTTCCCATTTATCTTGAAGTTGATCTATCGATCGACTATCAACTAGAACAACAAAATTCCACCGATAGCAGTTTCCGTTCAAATGTCAAACGTGAAAACCGATCGAATCGAGGATATTCTTTCCAACCGATCAACTCAGAGTTTTCTTATCGTGAAAGATCACATAAAATTTAACGGCTTGTCGTTTTACATGTAGGTAATTTGATATTTGCATTTATTCAGAATATATGGTATATCGATATAGCGTAAAGAAAGGATGAAGGGACCGACACAACAAAAACTAAATATATCATAGTACATTGTAGTAGTTCTAACGTCTTGGGTGTATTTACGACTTAAGTAGAATAAGCTATAATGTTGGCACATTGATACTTTTCCTTAGGCCTAAAAATTTATGCCTGTATATTTATCAGCCATTCAGGGAAACTTTTCCTTGAGGTCCTTGTCCTCTTCCTAAATGGTGTTCCAAGCCGTTCGAGAGACTTTTCTCCTTCAGCTTCCGGAGGTCTTCTTACTCATCTGTGAAACCACCGCCCTCTTGGCCATCCATAGGTCTACGTGGCACGTGATGTTATTCTTTCCAGGTGGATCATCCAGCTATATTCCCTTTTTTTACAACAACGACTGTCATCTTACTTGGCTTTTTGTACGGGGCTCACGCACCGACACCTAGTGCATTGGATCTATACAAGACTCTCGCACTCATTTGGCGTCCCAGTAT